GAAGATGGAAATGGGCCTCATCACTCATGAATATTTTTTTATATCTTCTTCTTGGTGGTGTTAAAATAATAACCAATATTCCGCGTTCTGGATCAGTGTAGCCTAACATTGTTTATTAGCGTGTATTGCGCATGTGTATACTACAAAAATGTTAAAACAGAACTGACATTAGGGGAAAATCGTAAAATTTATAGGAAGATTACATTTGCGCCACATTGTATATATATACTAGCGAATATTTTGTGGTTTTTAAATAAAAATAAAACAATTTCAAAAATTTAAAAAACGATTGCAAATTTAAAGACTGTATTTATAACCGATCAATAGATATTTGCATTAAAAAAATAATTTTTTTGAAGGTACCTCCGATTCTGATACCATATCTCCAGTTCCAAGCGGAATTTCAAAAATGTTTATAACCTATGTTACTTTAAAGCGATGTTGTAGTATATATGGAAATTTTGGGGAAAATCTGTTAAGGAGTTTTTGAATTTATAAATTACAAACAATCAAACGTTTTTCTTTTTTATAGATATAGATAAAAAGCTTGTAGCAGAATAATTCCAAAATCACTCAAAAAGTCAAATGAATAAAACAACTTATAGCACTTGTTATTAGTATATTTGAACTCACAAATCTTCAGCTTCATGGTTGTGTTTTTCAATTGTTTTAAATATGCCCTACCTGGTTATTATTGTACCATGTACCTACAACTACTCTTCGCAACATCTGCCCAAAAGGAAGGTTGAAATTCGTAAAAAATGTCGGGACCCACACAATATTTTCTCTTCAGGAAACACGGGATTAAGTGTAATTACTTGTGGATAAGATAATAAGCGTTTGAATCCCTAAAACTACATGTAGCATAACAATTATAACTACATGTAGCATAACAATTGTTATATTTAGACCAAAATATGTAATATTTATATTATTTACCCAGCAGGAATAGAAATGACACTTGAGGTAAATGTACTGCAGTTGTTAAGGGTTTTTGTACTCACTTATTCTGAACGTATGATTTAAGTTGTCATATGTGTCATAAAAATGTAACGTGTTGCCACACCTTACTATTATTTCCATTATTTTGATACAAATTATCAAATTTACTAATTTGAAGTGTACATTTACAAATGTGGCACACATTTTTAATATTTGAGGCTTAAAAACAAAATAAGCCGATTAATTTAAGGGGCTATAGAAAAACGTCGACTTATATAGAAAATTTTCTATATAAGCAGAAGAACCAATTACGCTATCCAAATACTGAATTTTATATATCGGGAAATACCTTTATATGGTGGCTATACGAAAACATCGACGTATAGACAATATTTTACCACATGAGGAAGAAACCATTATAAACTTAAAATACGGAACTTTAAAATATTCCGTTAGAAAATGTAACTAAAATCGTCAATATCCGAATATCGGGAGGTATAATCATATGGGGCTATACGAAAAATTAATCCAAACACAAAATTCTGATACAGAAGATGGAATAAATGATAAACACTAAATACTGAATTTTAAGCTATTCCATTAGAAACTGGGCAAAAATCTTCAAAATTCCGAATATCGGAAGGTACAATAATATTAAAGCCATACGAAAAGGTGAATCTATATAGACAATGTACTGATATAAGAGGCTAATCCATTATAAACTCTAAATACCGAATTTTAAACTATTTCGTTAGAATATTTGGTTAGAATCGTCTAAATATAGAATAACGGGAGATACAATTAAATCGGGGCTATACGAAAACATTGACTGATAAAGCTCATCTTCGAACTTGACCTGATTTCAGACAAAAGACAAGTCTTTACAAAATTTTAGCTTCCTATCTCATGTCGTTTGCACTCCAGCGTGATTACTACAGACGGAAGGACATGGCTAAAACGATTTGGGATTTTACGCTGATCAAGAATATGAGTTACAAACGGAATATATTCGATGAGTAACAAACGGAATTTACTCTCATACTATGTGTGTATAGGGTACAAAAACAATACGTGTGAATTAAGGGAAGGCATTTGTGCCACGATGTTGTGTTTTGTTTGATGCTGAGACTGAATTTAATGGTGTAAAATATCTGAAATAGGTGCAACAAAATAATATACATAGTGCCACAAAATCTCTAATATTGGAACTTCAAAAAGATGCGATACAAAAGACACTACAAATACCTAAAATAAAGACAACAATTAAAAATGTTTTTCAAAATAGAAATGTCATTCAAAATAGAATTGTTTTAGTAGATCTCAAAACAACTTGAAAATGATATTATTTATTGTAAGATTTAAAATGAATTTTTATACCCTCCATATACATAGTATGGGTGGTATATTAAGTTGGTCATTCTCCCTGTAGCTTATCGAAATAATCATTTAAGCTGCTATCAGGCGATAAGGGTTTAACATATATGCTGTCACTTTTATTATCCATGTGTATTTCAATATTGCCATTTTACATGTAACTGACAATTCTTTCTATCATATACTTGTATATGTTTTTTTATTTTCTTTAGTTACATTTTATTTTCTAAGAAATTATAATACTTTATTTATGACGTTTTAATTTAATATATTTTCACACAACCAACAAACAATACTTTTGATTACTTTTCGCTGTGTTTAAAAAAGTTCATATTTACTTCACTCATATATTTCACAACAAAAGTGTGGCCAATGTATCACACGATGTGTACGACTCCTACATTTGAAAATGTGGAAATGTAAGACCCTTTTTTAGATTGCGCAGTGCAATTTCTGGCGTATAACGGTACTTGCGATATAATATGTCTTTAAGGCTTCGGAATTCGGAAATTTTCAATTCGCTCCACTTTTTTCTGTAGTCCGCATATTACGGACAACGCATACTTGGTATTTCACTCATTGCAGTCTCAATGAGTTCTCTTTTAATGGGTTATTGTCATATGAAAGAAGTAGGTCCACGTTTTGATAAGAACCTGGTTGCGTCCGCCATTTTTGTTTGCTTGAATGTTTTCGCATCTTCCAGCTGAAGCACAATCTAAGTCCTGTGATTAGAAAGCTCGATGCCAATTCTAGTCAGGAAAGGTTACCATTTAACATCGTATTGTGCAGTAATTTAATTTTCTTCATCTTGCATTCAGAATTCGAAACAATACAAAAATATACACATCAATATAGCATGACAATTTGAAAAAACTACGGAAAAATAAAAAAACTATGTATCACAAACTATTTTTTTCAAATTTCTATTGGCGTATTTTCTCGCGATTCCCTTGAATTGTATCCTTTTTTTACCAAAACCCCATTCCGAAATGTTGTGAATTATGAAAATCAGGTGAGTCGTTCTTGAGTTATAAGCGTAGTAGCTAAAATAAATTTCTTTTATATATATAGATAGATGGTGAAAATAATTATTTATTCTGTTCAAAAAAAGCGATTATATTCAATATGATAAGTCAAATTGAAAAAAGAAAATCGCACATTATATAAAAATGGCAAAAAAGAAAAGCAAATTGAAAAAAAAAAATAAATTCTTGAACATTTTCCTGGATTTTTTACGAAGTTTGCCAAGAGGAGGGGCTATTATTTTTAAATTCGATGCCATTAAAATTATGTTTCTTTAGAATTTTTGCAATGGGATAGCCTCTCTTTTCGTGATTTTTTTTAGCAATTTTAAAATAGTAATTATCCTTTAACTTTGTTGTGATCGTGATAAATTATTTCGACATCATCTATTCAGTTTCGCCACCACATAATTCGTTACTACACTAAAGGGCTGCAAATGTGACAATTTTCTCTATTTATGCCATGGAGAGAAAACGCTCGTCATGTTGTGCCCAGTTTGATCAAACGCATAACAGTACGTGACATCCAACCAAATGCTCGATGTTTCGTCATGTCGGTTACACTCAAACCCATCGTCATAACATGTAATGACCAATAAAAGGGGATGTTGAATAGTGTGTCATACAAAAATGTTCTATCAAAAAACAACAACAATTACGAAACAATTGCCAACGAAAAAGACACACACGTGATGAAGGCAAAGCACAATCGTTACCTGCTTTTCCGATATGTGAAAAAATAATTTTTTTGTAATAAAGAATTTCTTGGCGAATACTAAAATATTAAAGGCACTTCTAATTGGTCCACACAACTTTTTCACATTTCGTGGTTATTGACGAAACAATCTAAAATGTTAATCCTTATTACAAAACCCCTGAAAAATTTTCTTATTTTGATTATAATTTCATAAATGTTTGCCTCCAGTATTGAGGTGTAAATGAGAATGGGTGCTACTGTAATTCACGTAACAACACTAGATACTTCCATTGTTCAATTCTGTGCATATTCTGTTATTGAATGAGAGTCAAATCTCTGCCCACAAACTTTAATTTTAAAAGAACACTATATGTAGATAGAAAATAGGCAAACAATATTTACCTCTTTTTTATGACCAAAATGTTATGATAATCACCAATAAATTGGGATTGTTCAGTATATATTTCATTTTTTTCTATTCATTTGTTAATGTCTGCACATTTTGTTATTGAACTCAATTTTATATTTACGCGGTGTTTGTTACTTCAAAATTACAGCGCACACAAAAACACACCCTCCCCTGCAGCCAAAATAACTAGTATGTAGGTAGAAATATACTAGTTGCTTTTTGCTTCAAACTAGTAACATATCTGTCCTTTTTCCATATAACGAACTGTCGATTTTAACATGGGGTTGTCATATACGCCTAACTAGTTCATTTGTATACAATTAAAGTACTAGATCCTATACTAGTTAAATACATACTAGTTGTTATGTAGTACTGTAAACTACTGTGTTTGGACTAGTTTTATGTGGACTAGTGCACACTCTAGTATTCTTCATGGTAGTTTTATACTACTCACATCTTTTCTAGTTGTATATCAATCCATCATTACCAGTTTCGCACTAGTTGGTTGTGTATAATTAAATACTAGTTAATTTTATCGTTTTTTATTTTAGTTTTAAAAAAGTAATATAATAATTTATAAAAAATTTAATTAAAAATCCATATCCACATTTGATGTATGTATAAAAAATAAAAAATAATTCACTCAAAAATTAATACTAAAATTTAATTCACATCAATATATTCTGTTGACTCCAGCTCGATCTTTTTATTTTCAGAATTCTTTCTGAATTGCTTCTTTTTGCATAATTGCATTGCCTGGCGTAGTAGCTGTTCCGCATTTTTTCCCCTAGAGTTTCTATGTTTTCTGGAAAATGTTTAATAAATTGTTTAATTATACAAATTTTACGTTAAAATATTCAACTTACCAATTAAAGCTTTGTAGAAATTTTTATATTTCCTTAAAGAGCGTTTTCCATGAGTACCGTCTACATTATAATCCATTATGACTTTAGAATCTAGTATATTCTCTATATTTTTTCCGACACAGTTTCGCCACAGCTTGCTCATTGTAGAGACCTAAATGTGAATGATTAAATTACTATGTTATAAAAATTAAGAAAATATTTACTTTATTCCTAATTCATTTTCGATATATTACTATACAAATAATAAGCACATTTTTGTACTTACGTAAATATCTCGGTTGTCACAAGTGATTTTTTCCTCCATGTTTTGCAACATGATTTCAGACGATATTGGAAAGTCATTTGTAGCGGTGCTGATTGACGTTTCTTGTCGAACTAATTTTGTTGTGACTACCTTTATTTCGGCAAATGCGGACATAATAGCCTCACTGTTTTGTTGGACAGTTTTAACTAAGTCGTTGATGGTTTCTGAAAGTCGGCAATTTTAAACCAAATTAGTACAGGAAAATTGAAAATTGAATTGAAAATATTATTTAATTAAAAAACGTAGTTCAAACAGCGATAAAAGTAGTGAATCGGCGATATCCCAAGATTTGTATAAAATGTTTTTTGTTTGGATAAGAAAGCATTGAGCTTATTAAATAATATGAAAAGAAATGTTTCAAATTTCACGATCCAATAAAATCTGTTCCGGCACTGTGTAGTATACACTCTTAATATTTTTTTCTTACCTTGTAAATTATCAATTTTTCTGGAAAGTTTTTTGCAATTTTTGCATGAGTTGTTTTCAGTACCTGAAATGAAAGAAAATACATACGAATTTATAATATATTTCATAACTGGTTTATTATGTATATCTACATGATTTGTTTTCACTTAGGGGCATCTTTATAATTTGTGAATCCATCTTTAAAAAAAAATTGTTTCATAAAATACATAAAGATTATTAATATAATTAAAAATACAGACGAAAAGTGAGGACCGAATAAAACAAACGAAAAAATGTAATTCATGCTTCTAAAGACAACTATGCAAAATTGGTAGTAAGTTAACATTATCATTGTGAGAAATACACATAAATTTGAAATTTATTTCTAAAATTGAGAATTTCTCTACATCACCTAAAGAAGATACATCGGCGCAGCAAATACCAATATTCATGGAATCCATTGGCTCCTTCAAATAACTTATTATATTTGTTAATCGTTTACCTATGACAAACTTTTCTTCGCCTTCTTCTTCAAATCTTTGAATTTCAATTGGAATATATGGTTTAATGCAACAGAAATTGTCTGGTTTCTTTGAAGTATAAAGACATTTATTGAAGTAGTAACAAACCCCTTTATTCTTCATAGTTCTGAAACCTTGACTTGGGATATCGATAAAATAACTTTCGTATTGAACTCTTTTAAAAATCTGCTGTAGTATATTCGTGGGCTTTTTGACATACTTTCCCATTGTTTGTAAATAATTTTCGAAATCATATGCAGACGAACCAGACATTAAACCTATGTCTCTTATGCTATCCACCAAATGTAGCAAAGTATGGATGTTGTAGGACACGCTACTATCTCCGAAAACAATTGGAAAATTATGTACAAACAAATCTAACAATTCAATATGGGTTTATTGGGCTTTTATGGTCAAGTTAATCAAATGAAAATAAACGAATTTATTTCATATTTTGCTCAACGTTTCGTTGGCTTGTTTCCAACTTTTTCAAGAGCGTTTTTATTGAATTCTGTTTATAAATGAGAAACATATTTCATTATTAGAATTTTGTTTTGTGACATATTGCACTTTAAATTTAACTTACATCAATAATTATGCATTATTTATTTCTTATTAATATTAATAAAACGGGACTCCACAACATTTAATTAATATAAAGTAAAAATAAATAATCAATAAAATAAGAATCACAGTTAAACTTAAGCTAAATCACAGAACCGTTTCTAAGTAATCGCAATAGAATACTGTAGTTTAGTATTATCTTTGTCTTCTTTGGTATTTTGACATTTGTTAGATCAGCTGTGTGGCCACTCTCCGTTGTGTGTTGTGTGCAGTGTACAGTGCTGTTTTTGCTAATCCTTTATTGATATCATTTTGATGTTCTCCTATTCTTACACCAAGCATTCTTTTTGTTGTGCCCACATAAACTTTCCCGCATTTCTCTTTCTCATTGCCTTTGCATGTAATTTCATATACAACGTTATGTTGTTTTTGTTTGTCTTCTTTTGTTTTTGTGCGTTTGAAAATCTCTTGCATTGTCTGATTGGATTTGTGTGCTATCATTGTTGTTGTACTTTTAATTATTTGTTTGAGGTTTTTTGTTTCTGTTAAATTTGGCAGGTACGGTACACTCACAAAAATTTGTTCATTGGATTTGTTAGTTATTTTTTCTATATTTTTGTTTTCTTTGTTTTTGCAGTCAATGATTATTTTCTTAATAAGATGAGGTGGATAACTATTTTTCTTCAATATTTCTGCATACTTTTTAATGTTTCTGTTTATAAATTGTTCATCTGTTAAGTACAGTATTTTGTTAAGTAGGCTTTTTGTTGTGTTTATTTTCATGTTTAGTGGTTGTGTGGAGTGGAAATTTATTATTCGTCCTGATGATATGTCTTTTGTATACCATTCAGTTAAAATTTTGTTTTTGTCTCGTATAATTAACATGTCTAAATATGGTAGTTTTCCATTTTCTTCCTTTTCCATTGTAAATTTTATTTTTTGGTGATAATTGTTAAGTAGATTTAGAATAATATTTTCGTCATTTTTGTTGATAACCGCAAAGATGTCGTCCACGTATTTTGTTATCATTTTAAGTTTTATATCTTTTTCGTTGAGTTCATTAATAACATCGTCAAGTAGTGTGTCAAGTATAATATCCGCTATCGTGGGTGAGAGGGGGTTTCCCATTGGCATACCATACGTCTGATGGTAAAAGTTGTTGTTGCATTTAAAGTAATTGTTGTCCTTTAGAACAAAGTTTAGTATCTTCAGAAACATTTGCTTTGGAATTTTAGTGTTTTCCTCAATTATTTCCCATTTGTCCATGATATTTTTTATTGCGAGGTGTGTGGGGATGTTTGTGAATAAAGATATTACGTCAAAAGATACAATAATTTCATCCTTATCTAAGTATATGTCCTTTGTCCTTTCTTTTAAGTTTATGCTGTTTTTTACGTTGTACGTAGGGGAAATTAATGTTTTCAATATCTTACCAATGTATTGTGCTAAGTTGTAGCAGGGTACATTGATAGATGAGGCAATAGGTCTTAAAGGAATGTTTTCTTTGTGTATCTTTGGTAATCCGTAAAGGTCTGGAGCTGCTGCAGCAATACTTGTCAGTTTGGATTTTTCCCACTTTGTTATGATGTCTTTCTTGTGAAGTTCAGCTATTATGTTATTGTTTAATCGTTGGAGTTTTGTTGTTGGATCTTCTCGAATTAACTTGTAGGTTGATTTGTCCTCTAGCAATGCATTAAGTTTTTGTATATATTCTTCTTTATAAAGAATAACCGTTTTGTTTCCTTTGTCCGATGATGTAACTATGATTTTATCTCCAATCTCTTTTATTAACTTTTTTGTGTCTTCAAACATTGCTAATATATATTTTTCTTTGTCGCTATTATATATATTTCTTTTGTAGTTCGATATTCTATTAGCTATTTTTGCTCTGGTGATTTCTTTTTCTGAATCGTCTTTTATAGTTTGAACCCACTGTTCAATGTCTGCTATTAGGGAAACAGGTTTGAAGTTTTTGGCTGTTACAGGCAGCGCGAATTTTTTACCCATCGATAGGATCCATTTGTTTTCCTTGGAAAAATCTATTTTGGTGCAATTAATGAACCAATCTTCATTAAGGATAAAGTTATATTCGTCAAATTTTTGATTTTTTAGTCTGTCTATCTTAGATAAATGTATAGTTTTTGTTTTTGATTTTATGTTGTAATATCGTTTCCATTGCTCGTCTTTAAATCTAATCAGTTCTGTTTCGTCGAGTGTGTTTTGTATTTTTGTCTCTAACTGTGATATTAGTTGTTTTGTTGTTGCTATTTGTAAGTGTGTTTCTTTTATCTCTATATTAAGAAGTTTCCTTTTGAAATTGTTTCTTACTCTCTCTGCTTGTTGTTGTGTTTTTATGTGTAGAAATAAGGAGAATGATTGTTGCACTGAGTTGGAGATATGTTTTGGAGAAATTGCATATCTTCTGCATGTTTGTAAAAAAGTTGATCTCTCAGTGTGTTTTGCCAACTTTTCTATTTGTCTACAATACTGTTTTAATATGTGTGTTGTTTCTATATTGTATTTGTATTTTATGTGTTGAAAGAAGTTCCTCATGTTGATGTTTTTCGTGAATTCTTTGTTGCTTTTTCGGCTGGCCCTCCGATGTTATTTCAGAAATGTATTTTGTTGACCAATGTTTGAGATTATTCAATATGGGTTTATTGGGCTTTTATGGTCAAGTTAATCAAATGAAAATAAACGAATTTATTTCATATTTTGCTCAACGTTTCGTTGGCTTGTTTCCAACTTTTTCAAGAGCGTTTTTATTGAATTCTGTTTATAAATGAGAAACATATTTCATTATTAGAATTTTGTTTTGTGACATATTGCACTTTAAATTTAACTTACATCAATAATTATGCATTATTTATTTCTTATTAATATTAATAAAACGGGACTCCACAACATTTAATTAATATAAAGTAAAAATAAATAATCAATAAAATAAGAATCACAGTTAAACTTAAGCTAAACCACAGAACCGTTTCTAAGTAATCGCAATAGAATACTGTAGTTTAGTATTATCTTTGTCTTCTTTGGTATTTATTGATCTGGCAATCCTTTGCTGTATTCGTAGGCTTTCCAATGTATATCTTTTGTTCTCCTTAACAATTGTTTTGCCGGCTCCAGATTGTTATGGTAGCTCTTAGGACATAACAACAATCTACATGCGCAATGTAAGAGTAGAAAAACGTAGTATGTGTCGTCAGGAATTAGGTCTTTGAAAACAAAAATCCCAGTGTACAAAAGAAACTGGCGGAACTCCGTTGCCTTCCAGTGTGCTATGTCATCGAAACTTCTTGGTTTCCTTACAAATTCTTGTGGAACAAATGTTTTCAAAGACTCTAACTTTTTCGACATGCAGATCTTATCCCTTTTGCTAACTTTAACGATAGTTTTTCCCTCCAATATTCGTAATATAAATTTCCGCATAATTCCCAAATCTAGTAAATGCATAGTATCTATTGACACTTGGCTTATCATTTTAACGCCGATTATTTCTAATGGTGTTTTAGTATTTCTAAAATTAACGAGATGGTGTTCCAAATACTTTCTATTTTCAAAATCATCATCTGTTATTAAATCTCCTGATTTAGTACTGTAGGTTAAAACATTTCCAATTTTTTTGCCTACTTGGGTGCATTTGCTGCAGCCATGGAACGACGCATGGCTTGGTATACCACATATGTAAGCTTTCGCTGGTGCATCACAAACAATGGCTCGTATTTCTAAACTAAAAATATGTTCTGCAAATTGTATCCCATTTTCTGCTATGTATTTCATTTCTTTCACAAAATCTTCCAAATACGTCAAAATACATTCCCGTTTCTTAAGACCAATATAAATCCCCACTGGAAGGACGTGCACATTTTGGGAATTAACAATTCTTATTAAAACAGGCCTCAGCTGAGCTCGAGAGCTTTTAAATAAGGGCAAGCCATCAATATTTATATCAATTATTATTTTGTCTAATCGCAATAAAAATTTACCAACTTTCTGTAATTGACTTCTTATGCCTAAATGACAATACAGGCCGGGACGAACTTTGCTTATAATGGGTTTCTCAACAATTTTCAGCAAAAATGTTTCTGCTTTCTTTGGTACATTTAAATTCTCTTCTCTTAAAATGCACAAAAGTTCTTCAAATGCTTTCCTGGAAATTTTGTTTCTTATGTACCACTTCCCTAACTTATCAGTAAATAACTCTTGCTGAACATTGTGGTTTCTGGTGTTAAAATCACTTTGCTCATCTGACAAATCTGTGGTTAAAACAGCAGGCTTATCATTTATATTTATGTTTTGTGTTTCTAGATTAGAACTATTTCTTAATCTATTAATGTATTCTTCACGTTGTTTTTTATTAACCGGGACATATTTCTTTTACTCATTTTACTTACCGTGTTGAATATTTTTTTTTCACAGAGAAAGCACAGCACGTCCACTTTACACAAAACCACAGACTGAATGATCTACAAACAGTTTATCTTTGATTCATTTAAAAAAGGGTTGCCAAAATACGTAAATATACCATTTTCCCATGAAATGTTATATTGCAAGCATTACCAAACATTACGATTGCTGAAAAACATAATTTGTCAACCCTGTAATCGAAGCACAAACTAACGGGAAAACGACAATGAGTGGGAGAGCGGCGCTCACTGCAGCACTTTGTAAGACAAAAGAGAACAACATGTGCAGTAAAGCAGTACAGTCAGTCTCTTTTCGCTTCGACTAACACGAATAACTCAACTGTCTCATGGCAACTAGTAGTATGACTGTTCCAATACTTAACTGGTTTCATTTTAGCTACAGTGAACTAGTAGTATAACTGTTTCAATACGTGACTAGTTTTTATTTTAGCTGCAGGGTCACCGTCGAAAGTAACACACACATACACTCTCTCAATTTAAGCACACGTACACAAATGACACACAATTTGACGATGACACGGTTCGATGTTATCGTTGACAACCTGCATTTATGGAGAACACCATGCAAATATTCGAGTCAGCCATGCCACGATCGAACCTTAGACAATGGCATACATGAATCAAAATGGGGGATGTTGTTGGTTGTCATTGCCTATCAAATACATAGCGCATGATTGAGTAGACAAAGTCAGTGTGTCGAAAAAAAGCATAATTCATACAAATCGTCTTGTGCAGGCCTTTATACTACACTCAATGTATCCCGCCTGAATTTTCCGTTCTCAAATCGAGTCAATTCAATAAAGTCAATCAAATTAAAAAAAACCCTATTCGTACATGATAAAATATTGGATTTTTTGGTTCATATCTTACACTCTTCTGAAATGATATTATTCGCATAGTTCCACTTACTCAATAAATACATAAAATCTATAAATAACAGTTTATCCGTAGTCGCTTTATACTACACTAACATATCAAATTAGAATTAATAAAATAAAACATTCGAAAATAGTAAGTCAAAATTAAAAAAATTATGCAATATAAAACATTACGATTGTACATTTCAAAAGTCAAAATAACTTGTAACTAACACAACTTTCTTTTATATATATAGATATAACTTGTACAAAAAACCAAATTAAAACAAAACGTTTTAATACAAACGATTCGAGGGAGCAAACTGTTCATTTCAACAGAATTTGAAACTTTTCAAAAATTTTTTTGCTTATTATCGTTGACAACCTGCATTTATGGAGAACACCATGCAAATATTCGAGTCAGCCATGCCACGATCGAACCTTAGACAATGGCATACATGAATCAAAATGGGGGATGTTGTTGGTTGTCATTGCCTATCAAATACATAGCGCATGATTGAGTAGACAAAGTCAGTGTGTCGAAAAGAAGCATAATTCATACAAATCGTCTTGTGCAGGCCTTTATACTACACTCAATGTATCCCGCCTGAATTTTCCGTTCTCAAATCGAGTCAATTCAATAAAGTCAATCAAATTAAAAAAAAACCTATTCGTACATGATAAAATATTGGATTTTTTGGTTCATATCTTACACTCTTCTGAAATGATATTATTCGCATAGTTCCACTTACTCAATAAATACATAAAATCTATAAATAACAGTTTATCCGTAGTCGCTTTATACTACACTAACATATCAAATTAGAATTAATAAAATAAAACATTCGAAAATAGTAAGTCAAAATTAAAAAAATTATGCAATATAAAACATTACGATTGTACATTTCAAAAGTCAAAATAAGTTGTAACTAACACAACTTTCTTTTGTATATATATAGATATAACTTGTACAAAAAACCAAATTAAAACAAAACGTTTTAATACAAACGATTCGAGGGAGCAGACTGTTCATTTCAACAGAATTTGAAACTTTTCAAAAATTTTTTTGCTTATTATTCAAAACAATACATTCACATGCAAAAAAAAACTGTATATATGTTTAACATTACGAGACTATCAAAAGGAAAAATTGTATTCAGATGATGCCGTACCCTGAAAATTATGAAATGTTTTGTTTAGTTGATTCTTACATAGAAGAAAAAGGGTTGGAATAGAAGAGCTGTGTCGGTACATAAACTGACGGAGCAGGGGCAGTATACATTGTTGAGCAGTTTTTTTAATGAAATTTCTTTATTTTCACTTATATTATTATATTTAAATAATAGTTATAGAAACACTGATATATCAAATCATTTCAGAAATGGACGAGAACTTTGAAAATTCAAATGATGCTATACCCTAGCTTGAAAATGATTAAATGTTCTGTTCTAGTTAATTGATTCTTATATACAAGAAAAAGGGTTGGAATGCAAGAGCTGTATCGGTACATGAACTGACGGAGCACGGGCTATGTGCGGGAAAAATAGCAACGTGGTTACAAGAGTTCTTCAGTTCTGTGCTTGGTGGAATCATGTTAGTCTTTGTTATGTGGGACGAGTTGGGGAACCACTGACAAAATATATATGTATTAAAAAAGGTTTTATTCTTTTTATTATATCACTAGCTGAACCCGTGCTCTTCAGTATCCCTTTTGATCTTACATGTTTTCAAAATTTCATATACGAATGTTTGGCGGTTTTTAAATAAAAGTAAAACAAATCCAAAAATTTAAAGAACGTATTTTTTGTAACACTTAGGCAGTGTTCTTGTTTTTCCTTTAGGAGCGTAATACAGATGATCAGTAAAAAGCTGAAACATTTTCTTTCTTTCGTTCCCACGCCTCTCACTCTCACCCCTGCCCCTGTTGTTTTCGCAGAGGGAATTGTAGACTAGGTGCCGTTAAAATGAACTTAAAGATTCTGACAACTAGTGCTCAAAGGCTGGGTCTACTGGTTCCGCAAAGGGAGATGTAGATCAGGTGCCGCAAAAATGAGCTTTTTAAAATAAACAAGTAAAAAAACATTAAGTTCGGCCGGGCCAAACTTTTAATACCCTCCACCTTAGGGTAAAAGAAACATTAGAAGAAATGTGGCAAAAACCATTAAAATGCCGATTATGGGGAGGTACCGTTATATGGGGGCTATACCAAAACGTAGGACCTATAATTACAATGTTTCGCCACCGGAGCTGGAACCCATTATGACCCACAAATACCAATTTTTAGACAAATCAGTGAAAAAATGTGGCAAAAACCATCAAAATACCGAATATCGGAGGTACCGTTATATGGGGGCTATATCAAATCATGGACCCATGCATGCAATGTTTCGCCACCGAAGCTGGAACCAATTATGATCAACAAATACCAATTTTCGAACAAATCCCTGAAAAAATGTGGCAAAAATCATCAAATTACCGAATATCGGGAGGTACCGTTATATGGGGGCTATACCAAAACGTGGACCTATAATTACAATGTTTCGCCACCGGAGCTGGAACCCATTATGACCAACAAATACCGATTTTCAGACAAATCCGTGAAAAAATGTGGTAAAAAAACTAAAATACTAAATATCGGGAGGTACCTTTATATGGGGGCTATACCACAACGTGGACCTATACATGCAATGTTTTGCCACACGCTCAGGGACCCGCTATGACCTACAAATACCAATTTTAAGACAAATCCGTGAAAAAATGTGGCATAAATCATCAAAATACCGATTATCGGGAGGTACCGTTATATGGGGACTATACCAGAACGTGGACCGATATATCTTATTTTCAATACCAACCATCCTAGACACAATGCAAATAGCTCTGCTAAATTTTGGAGCTCTAAGTCAAATAATGTGGGCTGTATCGTGATTTCAACAGACAGACAGAAGGACAGACAGACAGACAGACAGACGGACATCGTTAAATCGACTTAGAATTTTATGCTGATTATGAATATATATACTTTATGGGTTCTAAAACGAATATTTAGGGATGTTACAAACGGAATGACAAAGTTAATATACCCTCCTTTCCAAGGTGGAGGGTATAAAAATAGGTAAGTGAACATATACAATCACATGTGGAGAATATATCTTTTAATAGAGTTCAACGAATTACTTAAACAAATACTATTACATAGACTATTGTAAATTACACATAAGGATCTCAATGGGTTACTGATTGCGAAATTAGTTCTTGCGAGAGATAACTTTAAAGGTTCGAAATAACGAGTTCTACGAGAAGGAATATTATAAGTAACTTCCCCAGTTAAAAAATGAGAATCAATCAAACCGCGTGTTAATTTGATAATAAATAACGCTCTTAGCATAAACCGTCTCCTTTCAAGTATTGGGAGATCAATTAACAGTAAACGATTTTCATAAGGTGGAAGTAATTCTGACGGGTTCCAGTTAAGGCCCCGTAGAGCAAAAATCAGGAATTGAACTTGAACTGATTCGATTTTATCTGAGCAGCATTTATAAAAAGAACTCCACAGAATACATCCGTACTCTAATATTGGGCGAACTAAGCTTACAAATAATCTTTTGGTGACATATGGATCAACATTTTCTAATTTGTATGAACCAATAAAGTAGTTAGAATGTATTGGCTGAGATCGTGACAAGGAAATTTTTTGCATTTCTTAAGATTAAGGGACATACCGTTGGCACTGCACCAGTTCACAAGGGAATGTAAATCGTATTGTAAGGAAGTCGAATCGTCAAGGTAATTTATATGCATGTAAAGCTTCACATCATCAGCATACATTAGTATTTTAGAGAATCGAATGTGATCCGGAATATCATTAAGATACAGAACAGAAAGTAAGGGGCCCAAATGACTACCCTGAGGTACGCCAGAAGAAACAACAATATTTTTTGAAAACGA